CCCTGTGGCTGGATCACCAGTGTGACTGCCGCTCCGTGTCTCTGCCAGTGAGCCACTCGTATGGCTACGGCCTGCTGGACGCGGGCGCCGTGGTGACGCTGGCCCGCAACTGGACCAACGTGGGCCCCCAGCTGATGTGCGTGCTCTCGCTGCTGCCAGAGCCCAGGTACGCGGGGATCGGGGGGGGGCTGGGGCTGTGTAGGCGCTGAGCCGGCCTGGGTCCCATGTGCCGTTCGCCTCTCAGGAACATAGGTAGCCACCTGCTGGTCACTGGGAGTGTGGACGCCTGTGCAGGAAGGTCCAACTTCATGAGCTCGCTGGAGCATGTGCAGGCCCGGCTAACGCTGACCTACAGCCGACGAGGAAACCTGGCGATCCACCTGATCAGCCCTGGTGGGACGCGGTCCACGCTGCTGGCTTCCAGGTACACCTGTGTGCTTGTGTCTACACTGCAAGTGTGCCTCTCTCTGCCTGACGCTGCCTCTCTCTGCCTGACGCTGCCTCTCTCTGCCTGATGCTGCCTCTCTCTGCCTGATGCTGCCTGACTCTGCCTGATGCTGCCTGACTCTGCCTCTCTCTGCCTGACGCTGCCTCTCTCTGCCTGACGCTGCCTCTCTCTGCCTGACGCTGCCTGACTCTGCCCTTCATGTTCCTGTCCTCCCAGACCGCACGACTACTCCTCGGAAGGCTTCAACGACTGGGCCTTCATGACCACACACTCCTGGGACGAGGACCCACGCGGGGAGTGGACACTGGAGATTGAGAATGTGGCCGGGGACAGTGATTACGGTTTGTTCCTTGTTCACCCTGCCAGGAGGTGGCGCCAGGAGCACCTTGTAGCTTAGAACGCGTCTTCAGGGAAGCGCAGTTTAGACCCGCAGTAATGAATGTTTTAGCATGTACCAACATCAGCATTGATCGCCAGCTTCCTGCAGCAGAATCGTCTGTCTGTCTGTCTGTCTGTCTGTCTGTCTGTCTGTCTGTCTGTCTGTCCTGTCTGTCTGTCTGTCTGTCCCTTCCAACGTGAGTTGAGGACCACAATACGAGCTAATTACCTCCCGCAGGCTGGCTGGGTGTCACATGACCTCCTTTCGTCTCCTAGTTCTTACTGTATTCAGCTGCCGTGATGTCTATTTCTGCTGTGTCGCACCACTGATTTCTGAGTCGTGCGTCTTGTTTGTTGGTACACACTGTGTCCCGCTGTCCTGCTGAGCAGTAGGCACTGCGTGGCAGTGACTGTCAGCTTAGCAGTGACACTGGTCTTCTGGCTGAACTCTGTTCCTCCTCCTCGTCTTCCTCAGGGACGCTGAGTCAGTTCACCCTGGTGCTGTATGGCACAAACTCCTACAGCATGAGCCCAGATGGGTTTGACTTCGGCCAGCCTTCCAACGGCAGCTGCAAGACATTTGACATCCAGCAGATTTGTATTGGTAGGTGTGGAGTTTATGGTGTGATGCTGTGCTGCCCCCTGCAGATTCTCTGTGGTACTGCATGTCCTTCATAATCTCACTAATTAATTATCACTATCAAAGGCTTGAGCGCTGGTTATTTTGAGGATGTTGGTTCTTCCACGGAGATGTGTGCAGTCACAGAATGGACTTCTGAGTGCATGATGAGCTGTTTCAGTGAAATGCACTAAAAAGTATCTGAATTTCACAGTGACCAAAACAGATAGGCCTACCTAATCCGACAGGTTGCCTATCGCTCAGAAGGAGAAAATTTATAGAAATACGTGGAGGGTGGCCCTTAATGGTGCAGTTAACATTATGCTGGTAACTTTGGGCTTGTTTCAAACGCATAACTGTGCCGTTCCCCACCGCTGATGTCGACTGCCCTTAATGATTCATTATTGTCCACTGAGACTGATGCATTTTCTGAAGGGGACAGATCACTCGGTTTGCCAATTATTTTACTCTGTCAAGGTAGCTGTTCCCAAGATAAGGAGCTGCAGAAGGCTTTTGCCAGAACATTCCTCTGCCTTTGCTTTGTTCCAGACTACCCACAGTGCACGCTGCAGCTCTGTCATTTCTTCTGCATTGATCTTTTGATCATTGCTGTCCATCTCTCCTTTCTGCCCCCCCCGCCCCCCCCACTTGCCCCCTCCCACAGAGTGCAGCGCTGGATTCTTCCTGTTCCGCCAGGGCTGTGTGCGGACCTGCCCCCCCGGGTTTAGCCCCGCCTCCCAGCCCTTAAACTCCTCCCTGCACGGCTGGGTGGAGCTTTGGTCGGTGCAGGCCTGCCTCCCGTGCCACCCGGCCTGCCACACGTGTGCCGGTCTCAGCTCCTCGGATTGCCTGTCCTGCCCCCCCCACAGCCACCTGGACCCCAGTGCTGGTACCTGCCAACACCAAAACCAAATGCAGCGCGAGACGCCTGTCGGCCCCAAGACCCCCAGCCCCGGGCCCCCATCTCGCCTGCCAGTTACCTTGGCGTTGCTCAGTTGCGCCTTCATCGCTGCCACCTTCGTGGCCGTGTTTGTGCTGCTACAGCTGCACTCCGGTGGCAGCGCCCCCTGTGGCCGATGGAGCAAACTGCACAGACTGGAGTGTGGGGCGGGGGCGTCCAGGGGCCTGGGCGCTGGCTGCGGGAGGGTGGTCACTTACCGTGGCATCCCCACCGTCTGGGCTGAAGATGGGTGCAACTCCGAGTCCGAGGACGACGATTTTGACGTTCACAATGAAAAGACGGCCTTCATCAAAACACAGAGCGCCCTTTAACAGCCTCTCCGTACGACTTTGTCTTTGATGGGCAAGCATCTGCCTTCTACTCCTGCGGCTGATAACCTGGCATTGAGCTGGGGGGGGGCGGGAGATCCAAACACACCTCTGGGGGTGAAGACTTGACAGCATCAATTGAAACATTTCCCTTGCCACAGTAAACAAGTGCTCATTTTACAGCAGGTTTCAGCAGCGAGTTTGTGATGATATGAGTGAGTCATGGAACCCAGAAAGGTCTTTGAAATATGGGGTGGGGCTGGATGTGTGCGGAGTCAAAAGGTGGGTGGGCCCAGGGGCGCTTGGGTAGAGCCAGAGATATTCGGTTCTGCTAATGCAGTTGAGGATGTAAACATGATCATCTTCAATGAATGGAACACGGGGTCTTTATTATTTTCTTTAATGCAGTAATGTTGTCAGTGAATCAAAGCCCAGTATTTCACCTGCCACTCATGCTCTGCCCCCTGGTGCGGAGATTAGGAAGGTCTTAGTCTTGAGGATCTGAGCTGCTTTTGAAATGTAAAGGAGGTTTGAGACCAGTGCGCTGTAACCCCATGACCCTGGTTCCTGGACACGTGCAGTGATACACTGTTCTCCTCTCCATTACGTAGACTGGCACAGAAGTTTAAAGAGCTTGTACTATAACGTTGAAGCAGTTTTTGTATAACACTTATTCTGATAGGCTTGGTTCTGCAAACAGTGCAGCACTTCCTGTGCTTATTGGCCAGCAGTTTCCTTCTTTTCCTCTTGTACCCCATTTTTTAGGGGCTTCATTCATAGATCTCTGAGCCAATGGCAGCATGTTCCTTTACATCCTGTCTGTATCTGAGATGTACTGAGTGGCAGGAGCCCTGGGGAGCCTTGAGTTCTCCAGCTTTCACTTCAGAGGTTAAGGGTCTGTGTTGGGGGAGAAACCTGCGGACATCACAGTGTGTATCAGTTCATCCTCTTCACTGCTGTCGGTATGATGGCAGCAAAGGTGTCCTTCGTAAATGTACTAGTGATTGATTTATAATGTATGTGTGTGTGTATGTGTGTATGGGGTGTACAGTTGAAGGCTTTTATATCCAACATTGTTTGAGACTTTGTTCATATCCATATTGTAAACCTTCTATGTAAATGTTTGTTTTGCCATAATTTACGTTTAGTTTTTAAATTGAATGGAACAGAGATGGTTCTCCTTTTATTTAGGGTCTAAAGGTAAGTGTGGCTTAATCCAGCCCAGCTGATCAGGGAGCAGGAGCCCTGAAGGAGCTCTCCTCATTCACAGGGGACCCCTTCAGGATAGGGGAGTCCCACCATGCTGTCACCTGGTCTCCATTAGACAGTGTGTGGAATAACAACATAAAGGGCTGAAGCTGCGTGTGCGTCTGTGCATGTGTCTGTGTGTATGTGTGAGAGAGAAAATTCTTAAAGCTCTGTCCTGGTTGAGATTCTTACCATTGTTTTCTGCAAGCCCTCTAAGGGCTTGGAACAGAAGACAATCTCCAGCAAAGGGTTAGTTTTTGTACAATACGTATGGTGCACATTCATTTTCTTGTATTTTTTCCCCTATTTAACAGACTTATTGAATTCTAAAATGAAATAAAAACTATGCAAACCACAAGGTTTCTTTGCGTTTAACTGAATTGTTTAGTTGGTCATTATAAGGGTAAGGACGGTAATGCATAAGTCTACCGCTCCGCACAGAAGCTGCCAGATGCAGAAGAAGCCGTTTCAGCGTGGACATCGAGTTCTCAAGATAGGTGCATTTTTAAACGAAACACAAACGTGATATTCTTGCCGACTCGATTTAAAGGATCTCTTGACATAGCTGAGGACATCTATTCATTTCCCAAAAACGTCTTTGTGTGTGTGTGTGTGTGTGTGT